AGCCTCCACTGCGTTGGATGTATTGGACGAAGTCCCTGCCTAGGCTTGTATTGCTTTTGGATATCCAGAATTAAACCTTGCTTTTGCATTCCGGCATGCTCGTCTTTGGTGGTCTCTCTGGGGGTCACGATCTGGGCACAACAAAACGAGTTAAAGCTGTTGCTCCTAAAAGGATTGCAAATTACTATATTTCATAAAGAAAAGGTATTTCATTTGTACTTAACACCTTATCTAACTATAGAGAAAATACTTTAAGATTATTGTAACAGATGGATAAAGAAAATGTAGTTTATGCAAAATGAAGTTTTGTTTTGTTTTTGTTTTTGAGAGACAGAGTCTCACATAACCCAGATGTAGCTTAAACTAACCATGTGATGCTGGTGCTCAAAGCCAGGTCTTTTGAATGCTGAGCAAGCACCCTACCAACTGATCTACACCTCCAAACCACGCATTGTAATTTTACTCAGCCATAAAGAATAATGAAAGTACATCATTTTCAGGAAAATGGATGGAACAACAGCCACACACACAAGGACCAGAGTAGAACATTTTCACTTCTTGGTGGTATTTAGGGGCAGTATAAAATCAAAGGGGGGGCTGAAGATTAGGGATGAGTAAGGACAAGGTACATTATCTGCATATATGCAAATATCACAATAAGCCTATCACATTGCATAGTTAATATACCTCCTAAAAGTCAAAGAAACTGGTATAGATAAATTTCAAAAATATTGGGAATTCTACATTGCTCACCAAATTCACTACATTAAATGATATTTAAAACTATTTCAGTCATCACTAACAGTGAAAATTTTACTTCTGAGTAAGAGAAAACATACACTAAGATTGCGTTAGTAAAACAGGAGACAGTTGAAGCATTAATTGATGATACAAAAAGTAAAACCACACAAAAATAAAATGCAAACCTCAGGGAAATATTCCCTATTACCAGAAAAACACTGACGTTTCAACAACTACTATTTTATCCTTCTCTTAATGACAACTACAATTTTAACTATTCAACATATAAGTGTCTGGAACCAGACTATTGGGAATAATGGGCTTGAGGAACTTGAAATCTGTGGTCCCAGAGTCTCCAGTGAGACACACCTCATACTGGTAGCTCCGGGACAGGGTCCCTGCCCCGCTGACATCCACCAGGTGACCAGGAAAATGTCCCTCAGGCACAGAGCAGCCACCCAGAGAGGCCGCCCTGGCTCTCCTGCACAGCCTCACCCCCACAAACAGCAGCACAGACAAGAGGAAGAGAGAAGACACAGAAGCCAAGGCAATGACCAGGTACAGTGTGAGCAAGTCCTCATCCTGGGCGGGGTCGCGCGCCACCTCTGGCAGAGGCAGGTAGGGCTGAGAGAAGCCATCCACCAGCAGCACATGCAGAGTGACACTGGCTGACCTTGGAGGATCTCCATTGTCCTTGACCAGCAGCAGTAGCCTGTGCTTGGGAGCATCGCGCTCACTCAGCAGCCTGGAGGTGCGCACCTCGCCATTGTGAGCCCACACACTGAACAGCCCGGGCTCTGTGGCCTTGAGCAGCTGGAATGACAGCCAGGCATTCTGTCCAGAGTCGCGGTCCACTGCCACCACCTTGGTGACCAGGTAGCCTGGCTCTGCCGCCCTGGGCAGCAGCTCTGTGCAGGGTGCAGAGGCGTTCTGCAGCGGGTAGAGCACGAAGGGCGCATTGTCGTTGGCGTCCAGCACCAGCACTCGCACCAGCGCCTGGCTGCTGAGCGCAGGAGAGCCTTGGTCTGTGGCGCCCACGTGGAACTCGAAGGCCTGCAGGGCCTCATAGTCCAGCGCCCTGAGCGCGAACAGCTGCCCGTTGTTGGCGTTGATGGAAACCAATGAGGAGAGGGCCAGCTGTGGATCGTAGGGTGGCAGCAGTGAGTAGGTGATTTGTGCATTGGAGCCTGAGTCTGAGTCTGTGGCACTGATGGTGCCTATGTGCAGGGCAGGGCTGTTGTTCTCCTGGACAAACAGGGTGTAGGAGGTTTGTGTGAAGGCGGGGGCATTGTCATTGACATCGGAGACTTGCACTGTTATGGTGTGCTGAGTTGTGAGTCTGGGTGTGCCCATGTCAGTGACTGTGATGGTGATGTTGTATTCAGCGCTGCTCTCTCTGTCCAGGGCCCCCTCTGTCACTAAAGTGTAGTAATTCTCGAATGCAGACTTTAAAAGAAATGGAAATTCGTTCTGAATAGAACACACCATCCTTCCATTGTCCCCAGAATCTAAATCGAAAACACTGAAAACAACAACTACAGCCTCCGGTGAGTTTTCTGGGATAGGGCTTGTGAGTGTGGAGATGGTCAACTCTGGGGCATTGTCATTCACATCCAACACCTGTACAGACACAGTGCATTTCCCCGAAAGGCCTCCTCCATCTGTGGCTGCAATTTCCACATTATAATATCGAACTGTTTCAAAATCTAACTGTTTGCTCAGACGGATTTCTCCTGTGACCTCGTCTATTACAAATGGTTGAGAAACTCCACCGCCTTGAAACAGAGAGTAGGCTATATTCCCATAAGGTCCCACATCTAAATCCCTGGCAGAGACCGTGACAATTAAGGCATTGAGAGGGCTGTTCTCAGGGACCTGAACCTCATAGAGCGACTGTACAAACTGGGGGGCGTTATCATTGATGTCCACGACTTCAATGTGAACTGTGGTGGTCCCAGACCTGGGCGGAGACCCACCATCCACAGCAGTGAGGGTTAGAGTGAGCTCAGGCTGCTCCTCCCTGTCCAGGGCTTTGTCCAGCACCAGCTCTGGGTATTTGCTGCCATCAGTGCGACTCTGAGTAACCACATGGAAATGGAGGTTGGGGTTGACTGTGTAGTTCTGAACAGCATTGCTCCCTATGTCAGAGTCCTGAGCTGCCTTCAGAGGAAACACAGTCCCTGGCTGGGCGTTCTCAGGGATTTTTAGGAGCATTTCCCTGTGAGGGAACTCTGGAGCATGGTCATTTATGTCTGTGATCTGCAGGTCAGTTTGGAAGAACTGCACAGGGTTTTCCAGAATGAGCTGGAAGTGCAGCACACAGGGGTCTGTCACCCCACACAGCACCTCGCGATCTGGTTTTCCCCTCAGAAGCAAATTCCCGGTCTCTGCATCCAGCTGCAAGAGCTCTTTGTTTCCTCTGTGATGGATTCGCGCCCCTCTGGTGGCCAGTTCCCCCACCCTGAGCCCCAGATCTTTGGCCAGGTTAGCTACCAAGTATCCACTCTCCGTTTCTTCTGGCATGGAATATCTAATCGCCTCAGAATCAGCCTCCCACAAAAGCAGCAACATAGTAAGGAAAACGACTTGCCTTTGCTGTGGCGTTTTTGAGAGCGCTGTCTCCATTGTTCACACTCGATCCAGAAGGTGCAGTGTCTTTTAATTTATAAGGATCCACCCATGTGTTTTGATGAAATAGCAGAACTAAATTTTACTCACTGACTAGCTAGTGGAGCTATACCTTCTCTGGAAGATTGCCCTTCTAGATTCAGCCTGAATGCCACCTTCTTTTAGGGAGCAATTTAAGTTCTGATGCCTAATAATGGCGTCTAGAGCATCTGCAGAGTTCATTATTCACACGCTTAGCCTGCAGCGCCACCAAGCGTCCTTATTTACTATTGCATGTACCTTTTTCATTGTGTTCTGTTTCCCTCTTGATAAAATCCATTTATTTCGCTTTTATTTTGGTTTAACAACTGGTATTCAAAGTGTTAGAGAACTGCCTGATCCCAGTGAAAAAATACAGTAATCATTTGAGAGCTCCATTTCCAAAAAAAATCTACAAATGTTTCAAAGTTATTGTGACTATTACCAACTACTAATCCTCCTGACATTTCAAAAATTATAATACTAATTTTATTACTTTAAATTATAAACATACTCTGTGTGTAAAACATAGGTGGGTCTAACAAACAAACTAATGCATTCAATTTGGTCAGCAACTGTCAGTAACTGATGGATGCTGATAGCCCGGCATGAGCACTTAAAACAAGTATGTGAATTAGGACAAAATCGTGCATGATTTCCTCTGCTTGTTACAGTAAAGAAGGTAAAAGGAGGCTGTTTTTGAAGTTGGTTCCCCAGTGGAAACAAAATGAATAAGGACTTTAGAAATTCTGAAATAGCAAGAGTTCTTGTTAAGTGATACATGCACTGTGCGAAGCTGGCGAACCATCCTGGGCTTATTTCTCTGTCTTTGTCATTTCGGGTGAGATACTTCCCAGGCATATTCTTCTTTCAGAAGATTTGCTAGTGTTTTTTGTTTCTTTGAAACAGGACTTTTCAGTGTAGCCCCAGCTGTCCTGGAACTCACTATATAGACCAGGCTGGCATCAAACTCAGAGAGATCTCTCTGTCTTTGATTCCAAGTGCTGGTATTAAAGACATGCATCATGCACTCAGGCAGAAGATCTCTTATGATGCCAGAACTAGAACTATTCATGAATCTGATTTCTGAGAGAAGAATATCAGTACAACTAGGAGAACCATCTGGTCTCTAGGGCTCTGACTGCTGGGGTGGGAGAGTCCTACTTTAATTGAGGAAAGTGGTTTGTTGCCAAGATCCCATCTGGGAAGTCCATGTTCCCATCTTCTTGTCCCATGACTTATTACATTCTGGCAGTTTTCTTGTATCATTTTGGCCTCATCTGATCCATCAGAAACTGGAATTCATTCTGATGCCTTTTACCATGTGTACTGTGAATTTGACCAATTTCCTTTTCTGCTTGTTCCTTTGTAAAGGCATGACACTAGCATTGTGTCTTCTTGTTTTGAGGCAATTCTGGTCTTGCACTTTTTCAGCTGCTGATTTGGGGTGCAAAGTGTAATGCTGGGCATTGTACACACGAGCAAAATCTTGGTGCTTTTTAATAAGTTGCTGTTCATTTCCTTGAATAAATAATGCTTACCCATTTAGCTTTTTCTTTAAATCACATTCAGAGAGCAAGTTATATACAGTTTAGGGCAGTAGCTACCTTTTTTTAAAAAGGAAATTTTATTCCTTTTACATACCAATCACAGATCCTCCCCTTCCCTTCTCATGCCCCTCCACGTTCCCCCCCCTCAAGACTCCCCATTCCCTCCTACAAGAAGGTAAGGCTTCCCATGGGGAGTCAGCAGAGCCTGGTACATTCATTAGAGGCAGGTTCAAGCCCCTCCCCCTGCCTCAAGGCTGTGCAAGGTGTCCCACCATAGGTAGTGGGCTCCAAAAAGCCAGCTCATGTACCAGGGATGAATCCTGATCTGACTGCCAGAGGGCCCTTAAGCAGATCAAGCTACACAACTGTCTCACTTATGCAGAGGGCCTAGTCCAATCCTGTGGAGGCTTCACAGGTTTTGGTCTAAATTTCATAAGTTCCCACAAGTTTGGTTTGTCTCGGAAGTTTTCCCCATCATGATCTTGGTGCCCCTCGCTCATGGAATCCCCCTTCTCTCTCTTCGATAGGACTCCTGGAGCTCAGACTGGTGTTTAGCTGTGGATCTCTGCATCTGCTTCCATCAATTACTGGAGAAAGGCTCTGTGATGACAGGGTATTCACCTATCTGATTACTGGGGCAAGCCAGTTCAGGCACCCTCTCCACTGTTGCTAGTAGTCTAAACTGGGGTCATCCTTGTGGATTCCTGGGAACTTCCTTAGCACCCAGTTTCTTCCTATCCCCATGAAGTCTCCCTTTATCATGTTATCTCTTTCATTGTCTCCCACTCCATTCCTGTTCTAGCTCAAACTTCCTGTTCCCTTGCGTTCTCATTCCCCACCCACTACCCTTCATTGCCCCTGTTTCACGCCCAGTTTCCTCATGGAGATCTCCTCTATTTCCACTTCACAGGGTGATCCATGTATCCTTCTTTGGGTCTTCCTTGTTAGCTAGCTTCTTTGGATCTGTGGGTTGTAGTCTGGTTATACTTTGCTTTACGTCTAGTATCCATCTATGAGTGAGTACATACCATGTTTGTCCTTCTGAGCCTGGGTTACCTCACTCAGGATGATATTTTCTAGTTCCACCCATTTGCTTGCAAATTTCATAATGTCATTGTTTTTTACTGCTGAGTAGTACTCCATTGTGTATATGTACCACATTTTCTTAATACACTCTTCGGTTGAGGGGCATCTAGGTTGTTTCCAGGTTCTGGCTATTATGAATAATGATGCTATGAACATAGTTGAGCATGTGTCCTTGTGGTATGGTTGAGCATTCCTTGGGTATATGCCCAAGAGTGGTATATCTGGGTCTTGAGGAAGATTGATTCCTAATTTTCTGAGAAGCCACCATACTGATTTCCAGAATGGCTGTACAAGTTTCCACTCCTACCAACGGTGCAGGAGTGTTTCCCTTGCTCCACATCCTCTCCGACATAAGCTGTCTGCAGTGCTTTTGATCCTAGATATTCTGATAGGTATAAGATGGTATCTCAGAGTCATGCGAAGTCTGCTTTGCATCTCCCTGATGACTAAGGATATTGAGCAATTCCTTAAATGTCTTTCAGCCATTTGAGATTCTTCTGCTGAGAATTCTTTGTTTAGCTGTGTAGCCCATTTTTTAATTTTTTGGTATTTTGATGTCTAGTTTCTTGAATTCTTTATATATTTTGGAGATCAGTCCTCTGTCAGATGTAGGGTTAGTGAAGATCTTTTCCTATTCTGTAGGCTGTCATTTTGTCTCATTTACTATGTCCTTTGCCTTACAAAATCTTCTCAGTTTCAGGAGGTCCCATCAATTAATTGTTGCTCTCAGTATCTGTGTTACTAATGTTGTATTTAGGAAGTAGTCTCCTGTGCCAATATGTTCAAGATTAATTCCTAATTTCTCTTCTATTGGGTTCAGTGTAACCAGCTTTAGGTTGAGGTCTTTGACCCACTTGGACTTGAGTTTTGCACATGGCAATAGATATGGATCTGTTTGCAAACTTCTACATGTTGACATCCAGTTATACCAGCACTATTTGTTGAAGATGCTTTCTTTTTTTTTCATTGTACAGTTTTGGCTTCTTTGTCAAAATTCAGGTGTTCATAGGTGTGTGGATTAATGTCAGGGTCTTCAATTTGATTCCATTGATCAACATATTGGTTTTTATGCCAATACCAAGCTGTTTTTATTACTATAGCTCTCTAGGAGAGCTTGAGATCAAGGGTGGTGATGCCTCCTGAGGTGGCTTTATTGTACAGGATTGTTTTTAGCTATCCTGGGTCTTTTTGTTTTTACATATGAAGTTGAATATTGTTCTGTCCAGGTCTGTGAAGAATTGTGTTGGGATTTTGATGGGAATTGCATTGAATCTGTAGATTGCTTTTGGTAAGATTCACATTTTTACTATGTTAATCCTGCCTATCCATGAGCGATCTTTCCATTTTCTGACATCTTCAATTTCTTTCTTCAGAGACAAAGTTCTTGTCACACAAGTCTTTCACTTGCTTAGCTAGAGATACCCCCAAGGTATTTTATATTATTTGTTGCTATTGTAAAGAGTGGTGTTTCTCTGATTTCTCTCTCAGCTCATTTATCATTTGTATACAGGAGAGCTACTGATTTGTTTGAGTTAAACTTATATACTGCCATATTACTGACAGTGTTTATCAGCCATAGGAGTTACCTGGTAAAATTTCTGGGGTCACTTATGTATATCATCATATCATGTACAAACAGTGAAAGTTTGACTTCTTCCTTTTCAATTTGTATCCCCTTGATCTCCTTTTGTTGTCTTATTGTTCTAGCTAGGACTTTGAGTGCTTTATTGAATAGATATGGGGGGAGTGTTGTTCCTGATTTTAGTGGAATCACTGAGTTTCTCTCCATTTAATTTGATGTTGGCTGTCGGCTTGCTATAAATTGCCTTTATTATGTTTAGGTATGTTCCTTGTATTCCTGATCTCCCCAAGACCTTTATCATGAAGTAGTATTGGATTTTGTCAAAGGCTTTTCCAATATCTAATGAGATAATCATATTTTTCTTTCAGTTTTTTTATATGGTGTATTACATTGACAGATTTTCATATGTTGAGCCATCCTTGCATCTCTGGGATAAAGCCTACTTGGTCATGGTGGATAATTTCTTTGATGTGTTCTTGGATTCAGTTTGCCAATATTTTATTGAGTATTTTTGCACCAATGTTCATGAGGGAAATTGGTTGGTAATTCTCTTTTTTGTTGCATTTTTGTGTGATTTGGATATCAGGATAACTGTAGCCTCATAAAAAGTTTGGTAACTTTCCTTCTGTTTCTATTGTGTGGAACAATTTGAAGAGTATTGGTATTAGCTCTTCTTTGAAATTCTAGGGCTGGGTGGTGGTGGTGCATGCCTTTAATCCCAGCACTTGGGAGGCAGAGCCAGCAGATCTCTGTGAGTTTGAGGCCAACCTAGGCTACAGAGTGAGTTCCAGGAAAGGTGCAAAGCTACACAGAGAAACCCTGTCTCAAAAAACCGAAGAAGAAGAAGAAGAAGAAGAAGAAGAAGAAGAAGAAGAAGAAGAAGAAGAAGAAGAAGAAGAAGAAGAAGAAGAA